CCGTCGCACGGGAATGCAGGCCGGGCAAAGATGGCAGCACGTGGCAATAAAAATACCACGAGCTGCTCTGGAGATGGCCTGAGTTACAGCTGAAAGCCCGTCCTCCAGAAGCTTTTATCAGCCACGTCAGCGCCATCATTTGGAAATACGACAGGAGGCGAGCAACCTTGGGGTCTGGAAGCAGGGTTGCCTGGAGGGGCAGCTGCGCGGGTACCAGAATTGGGTACCAGCCCCGAGACATGGCACCAGTCAACCCACGGCAAAGCCCAGCTCCGAACCAGCTCCGGGGAGGCTAAGAGGCGGCAGGGACGCGCTGGGAACATTTACCCCAAAAGTTCATGTCTCTCGGCTAGTTCGTGTCCAACGCACACACGTGACGTGCACGATTTATGCTGCCTCCCATCCCCACCCGCCCGCCTGTCACGCGGGCGCGTGACAAAATGCTGTTCTGACCCCGTCCGTAATTGAGTTTCCCCGGCGCTGGTAGGTGCAGCCGGCAAGCTTTGTTTAGGAGTATTTATTGCGCTGGGATCATCCACCAGAGCCTGATTTCCCATCCCAGAGTCATTACTCCCCTCAGGTGCTTTTCCCCTTGTCCCTACTGGCACATCTGTTGCTGGCAAGCCCCAGACTCCCTCCCTGCCCGCCAGGGAAGGGCTTCACCGGGGAACGTGGTGTTGCTCCCAAGACCCGTGGAAGACAAGGTGCCTGTGCCGACCTCCTGGGTGCAGCGGCAGAGAAATTCATCCCCAGGCTGCTCCGAGCCATCGTGCCCCTCTCTACTCCACTCATGCTGCTGCCCGGGCAATTGGGACAAGCCTGCCGCAGATAAACGGGCAGCAAAAGAAAGGACAGAGTAGCTGAGAGGCCTGGGGAACCGGTGCCCCAAGCAGATGCGGCGTGTCGGAGCTGTCACGCCAGGCAGACCCTCGGCGGGCCGCCCCTGTACCCACGGTGTAATTACGGCAGCGCAAGGGGCCGTGTGTCAGCCCGAGCCCACGCCGCGTTCCCGCACGGCGTGATTGGCGCTGTCAGAAAGATCTAGGCTCGCGATCCATAACCGTCACTCCGGCGGAGACATCTCCGCTCCGTTCCACAAAGTAAGTAACAAGTTGCCATGCCAACAGCTGAAGCAAGACAGGCCAGGGAGATGCAGTGGGCCTTAATAACATCGCACGGCGCCCGCTGGGAGACGGCGGGGTTGATTACTGCAAGGAGCCTGGGTAGGGGTGAGGGGCAGGGCTGGGGGGCTCCGAAGGGTCACCATCCCTCCCGCCTGCCACGTGCTGGACCATCGAGCTCCTCGGGTCCTGGATCCCACTGGCTGAGCTGCGTTTGCCATGCTTGCTATGACGTGATGGTTTAAACAGCGCCCTGCACACCTCAAGGGGGACTTCCAGGCTCACTAACCCCCTCCACTGGCTCCCAAGAGGGACCCCGGCAGTGACCCTCCTACAACTCAGGGGCACCCAGCGCAGCAGCAGGTCGCAGTGCCGCCAGCTGAGCGACACGAGCCCGAGAGATGTCCCTCCCGGGTGGGGGTTGCTCCTTGCATCTCTACCACGCATGTGGAAAGGGCAATGCTGAGATATCCATGACCCCGCAGGTCTCCGGGCCAGGTCAGAGCAGCCGGGAGGCTGGGTGAGAGGCCAAAAGTGCTTTTTCCAGGCTCAAGGTGCAAAAAGGACCCAGACGAGCTCCCGCAGGCTGTTGCGTGGTGTGTGGTGCCCTCCAGTGGAGCAGAGCCCCCAGTGCACACGTGGCATTTTGCTTCCTTCGTGGGTGCTTTGCTGAAAACTTCAGCGGGACGGAGCAGCGGGTGCCAGCACCGCAGCGGTGCGCTCTCCGGCTGAGCCAGCATCTCTGCAGACCGGCTGCTTGCGGAGGGGAATCCACTGTCTTGGACTTGCTCCCTCCCCGATCACTTGGAGCTGGACCTGCCCGCCAGCCCTCTTCCCAGAGACTTGCTTTCTCTTTGGCGATGGTCTGCTGTTTTGAGTGTTACTGGGGGAAGTGTGGGACACGCGGAGAATGATTGCCTTATGCAGGCCCTGCAGACTGCCTTGAATTTTTTTTACAAGCAGAAACTAGACATTTTCATGCCAACAGGAGGCCTAGATTTTTGTAGGACAAAGATTTGTGCACTGGATGACACCATGGCTGGGCGTGTTACTCTGTGCCTAAGAGGGGAGCCAGCCTGAAAAACCTAGTGTCCTGATGCAGACAAGGTCCTTTGGGTGAATCTGATATTTTTTATTAGACCAGCTTAAATAGTTGGAAAAAAAAAATTTAGCAAGCTTTCAGGTTGCATTTTTGCCACACAAGAAGACCAACATGCCATGGGGCCAGCAGATCACTAGTAGTGGAAGGTGAGAGTTGGGATATAACACAGCATGTTTTTCCCCCCGCTCTGATATCAAACCCAGTGTTTAGATCAGATTGCATTTAGAACATTCAAAGTTGTTTAAAGTGGTGTTTTTTGAAGTTGAAAACAGTTTCCTTTTGTTCATTGTGGGATTTCTTAGCTTTGGGTTTGTTTGTTCTTTCACTTTATTCCTTGTTACTCTGTTGTTTGTCTCACTTGGTTTGACTGGAAATTTTCAAATGAATTGTTTTTGTAGGGTCTTTCAGGTCTGGTAAGGAGCGCCGGAGTAGAAGAAAGAACGTCCACGAAAAAAGAAGGAATATGAGAAAAAAAAAACGGTATTAGGAAAATGGAAACACTTGCTTCAATCGGTAGAAACGGGGATCACGGTCAATACTGTCAAATGCTCACTCGGACTTAACTGGAACACCCTTCAGATGTCACCGGGCTGTGGTCAGTTTGAGGGCAGAGCTGTTTGGATTTTCCCAGGTTGCAGATTTTGGTGGCTGTCCATGGTGATGTAAGGGGCATTCAACTTGTTTTTCCAGATTTTTGGCTCGGTGGATAAAGCTGACGGTCAGAATTGATGCTGTGGAAGTCCTTTGTCGGTGTTTTCCTGTTGTGTTGTTCTAGCCGTGATTGGTTTTTGTCATTGGTTAGAAGTTCAGTATTTTTGTGCTGCTCCGTTTTTGAGGTTTGAAGTGAAACACTTGGGGTGGGGGTTTTGTGTATGCATCTGGATGTAACTTAGTGCAAGCTTTGAGGGTGCAGTTTGGTCGGTGTGAAAGTGAATTTATTGCAGGTGTTTGAAAGTGTCACCGTTTCACAACTCTTTCCTGGTTACCTCTGTTCTTCATATATCTTAAGACGAAGAGGACAATCAACAAAAGATGTTTCTCAACCTTCGGTGGCTCCCAACCTTTTCGTCTCAAGGCACCCCTCATTAAGTTCAAGGCACCGCTTCAGAAAATGCCAGCTCTTAGTTTTCACTCACTGTTTGACTATGGAAAAAATAATAGAGCAATTTCTCTATTGCAAAGAACTCAGGCCGCAACAGGTCAGAAGTGTTAACATTTGTATTTGAAGTTGTTTGGTCTATCTTGTGGATCGTGTTTGCACACCCAGCAGTGCTAACACCACGTGTCATCCCACAGCACCCCTGAAAGGATCTCAAGACAGCCCAGGCCACCCTGGTTGGGAATCACTGTTCGAGTCTTTCAGGTGATTTACAGCGTGAAAAACCGCTGAACGTTTCACGGCTCCCTTAAACTTACTTAGCTTTTAAATGTAAAAAAGATCGTAAAAATAAGTAGCCTATCATGCATACGGTAGTACCAAGAATACGTGGGGAAAGCTCTTAAACCTGTAGGTAACTCTTGCATTAATGGAGAAAGCTTGGCCATGCCCTTCACTGATAACGACCGGTTGTTAAATGCATAAACTGTTTCAGTAGATCCGCCTATCCAAACGGGCAGCGCTCCATCCGTTTTGTGACAGGCAGCGTCAAAGCGGGGCCCCTGGAGCCCAATCCTGGGCAGGTGCAGGCAGCACAGGTCCCAATCCAGCCCACAGACCAACCCCACGCCGTTCATCGGGCCCGTGGGGCTGAAACTGTGAGCACCGCTGCATTCACCAAAGCAGACCTGTATAGCACAAGCTTCCCCGAGCCGCTCGTGCGCCCAAGTGAGGTTCAGCTCAGGAAAGCTGGCGCTGTGCGTGCGCAGCACAAGCCTTCACGAAGCGGATCGCGCTTCATCAGCACCTGTCGGCACGCGCCTCCGGCAGCTGGGCCACGGGCGCCGGCGAGCACACGCTTCAGATATCTACCCACATATCTATCAATACCTGTATACCCGATAGGTATCTGAGAGAGAGAGAGATAGGTGTCAATATAGCTAGATACAGCCAGTAGATAGCTAAATAGATATAGCTAGATATATGGATATATAACTAGATATAGCTATAGATAGCTAAATCCAATAGCTAGATAAATAGATATAGCTAAATAGCTAGATAGATATAACTAGATAAATATAGGTAGATAGCTATCTAGATAGATATAGGTAGATAGACAGCTAGATAATATATGGACATATAGCTGGATATAGCTATAGATGGCTAGATAAATAGATATAGCTAAATAGCTAGATAACTATAGCTAGATAATATATGCATATATAGCTAGATAGCTATAGCTAGATAGATAGCTAGATAATATATGCATATATAGATAGCTAGCTGTAGCTAGATAGCTAGATAACATATGCATATATAGTTTGATAGCAATAGCTAGATAATATATGCATATATAGATAGCTAGATAATGTATGCATATATGGCTAGATACAAGATACAGCTAAATAGCTAGCTAGGCGGATAGACAGATAGATATAGCTATAGATCTAGATAGTTAGATACAGCTACAGCTCCCTAGACCTATGGGCATGTAGCTCTCGATGTTGATATCGACGTCTCGACACGACCGAGCCCGCCGCGGACCCCTGGCTGTCTACACGTGTCCGTGCGCCAGGTAGAAAGACAAACGCGGGACGCCGCGGCATGTCCTCCCGGGCACCCGTCGCCCCGCGCATGCGCCGG